AGGCCACTGATATATGTGATATATTTCAAGCAACGTATACATAGGGCTCCTACATCTGAATTGTTTTTCCTAAAAATAAGAAGGAATTGAGTCCTATATACTATAAAATATTATGCAAGAATATGTGTTGACATATTTGAGTTACATTTAAAAATATCAAGCAGGATTTTTTCCATCAACTTCCTTCCTTCCTTTTCTATCTTTTTTTGTGACAATGTTTATCATCTAATATAAGTAGTGATTTTAATAAGCAGATACACAGCTAGCATAAGTCCCCACCCGCTGAGCAGCTTCCTAGGGAGGACTCAGGCAGGAGTGTGCAGATTCAGTTCTGTGTAAGATGAACAGGACAACAGATCGGGGAGGGAGAAGAAGGCCAGGTACCCGGCGCGAGGTGGCGAGGTGTGAATCTTGGATCCATTTTCTCCAGGGTGTTTCATGGGTCTGAGCTGCGGGGCGGGGGTGGGGTGGGTGGGTGAATGAATGACCTCTTTGCTCTATACTGTTTTCCCTTTACTTGGTTGAATTGCATTTTTTTCCATTATATTCATCCCAGTGATGTGCTGTAAATCTACTCTTACTTTAAGGAAGAACACTTTCATGACACATTTGCTTGACACAAGCCTATGATGAGAGCAGCTTGGGGAGATTCGTTCTCCCTGATTCTCTCTTTTCCTCCCGTGAGTGAGCAGCAGTCTGGAGCGGAAGGGAGGAATCTGTGACTCAGCCCATCTTCTGTATGGCTCGTGTTCCGTAATCGGCTGGAGCATCTGCCGTTTTCACAGAAGCCGAGTGGAGCCCTGGAGAAAGTGACAGGGTGGGTGTGGAGCCCTAACCCCAGTTGTGATTTAGGGTTATCATACCTTGATAGTTGCGTGAAAAACAGTTTTTGCTTCCCGAAGATTCAGTGTTTATTTCAAAAATTAAGATCCAGCTGGAGGAATGAACATTTTCTTATACAATTCTTTAATTCATGGTTTCTCATCTTTGCGTATGAGAGCCCCAGAGCAAAATACTTTACCAAAAAAGGGTAAAATTAAGATCGCAGTTGCAATTATAAGATCTGTAAAGGACACAGTCTCCTAGTGGATAATAAGGGAATGATGATGTCAATTATCATTTATTTAAGTGATTCGACGCAAGTTCCCTGAAATAGCAAACCTGGCTCAGTCGTGTAAAGCAGGATATTTTTGGCCTGAAACCTCTCAGAAACACAAATATTTTGTAAGGTGAGGTCCAGCCTAACAGATTTGTTTTTCATGACTTATATTCATGTGGAAAATAGAATGTCTTGTGACATATAAGAAATCCAGTAATTTAGGATTATACCCAAGCAACATAAATTACAAAAACTGAGGCAGTTTCTAGGGCTATAAGTGATGTTAGCTTTGGTAAGTCACATGCATTTACTGGCTGGATTTAATTTTCTAAAACGACATAGAGGTGCTTAATTCTTAGTCATGTTTCTTATAGAAATTTAGTTAAAAAGTGCAACTGCATTCTTGCTCTTTGTTCCTACTTTCAGTTAACCTCTTCCAGGAGCTGATCTGTATCAGGTGTAAACATTAGGACATATGCAGCGATCAACAGCAACTGGACGATGGGCTGAGATTCTGAAATGAGCGAAGTAGCTACTTTAGTACTGCGAACCTAAAGGCATCCTTGCTGCAAATGTCTGGTCACAGCAGTCCATGGTCTCAGCGACTGGAGATTAAGAACCTTGTTGGTACAGTAACCAACTTAACATCAGGTTTTCACGTTCTCCATACTGTTATGTATGCTGTGTCTCCATATTTGAAAAGGAGTACTTGGTTCTCAAATTGAGGCAAAGGTCAGACTATGCTCTGCGAGCTGGATGCTTCACAGTCACTTTATCACCTTTGCTGGGAGCCTGGTGTGCTACCAAGGTGACGAGCTCGTCAGCGAGGCTTCAGGTCCTAATTTTCTGCTCAACACCGGGTAAGGGCCGAAACCTCACACAGCTGTTGCTAGGGCAACAGACATAATGAGGACAGTGTCAACCAGACTCTGAAAATGTCTCTGCCCAGGAGACAGCGTCGTAAAGCTTTGTACTGTCAGTTTTTCACGCAGGAGCAACACGAACTGAGTGTTCTGTCCTCATCTGATCCTACGAGAAGGTCAGGTGCATGTCCTCCTTTTATTCACCAGGAAACCGATGCCCAGAGGTTTCGCGCCTTTGGCAAAAGCAGAGACGGAGGTAAGTCCACTCCGACAGGACCCCCAGTATTCCCCAGTGGCGTGGACGACGCACAGTCAGGCAGCAAGGCCCCCAGCACAGCCGAGCAGCTGGAGGGTGGACCAGCAAGGCGATGGCTCTTTCCACCAAGCTCCACTGGTTCTGGTGCTTGTGACTGTGCGTGTCACTATGGGGAGCGTGCAGAGGAAAGAAAGAAGCATCATTTACCGTATTTCTCCACCCAAACTACCTGCAGCCCCATTCTTCTAGGCTCCTAAAGCTCCCACCACCTTGTGCTAATGTCCGCTTCGTCGTCTCATCGTGGACCATGTCCTGGACCTTCTCTCTCCTCCCTCCAGACCATCTTGGGGCTGCCTAGGCCCCCACACCACTCAGGCAGCCCCAAGGCTTCCTCTGCTCTTGATTCCAACCCTCAAACCACAACGGGCATGGAGACTCCTCACTGGGGATGGTTCCACCGTTTGGAAGGTTTGGAAGCAACAGGCTGTTTCCCAGTCCTGCTAAACCTGACGCAGGAGTGGCTGGCAGGGCCAGGATGGGTCTGTCTATTCCTGCTGGAAACACAACCAACTGCGAGAAGATGCCACCAACTGCAATGGTTTCTAAAGCTCGGGATGCAAACCTTTTCCCCCTTCTTTTGAAGATTTTTATGTAATTCTGTCTCTTAGTCCAGTGGTCACCATCATCTGCCAATCAAATCCCACTTCCTGAAGCCCGTGCATCTGTTTACACGGCAACACGAATGTGGACAACGCGTCAGGAGCCCATGTGACCCGAAGGCGCTCAGGTCCTGTGCGTTCCCCACCTCACACAAGTTGCCTCCAGTACTCCCTGGTTTGCCCACTGTTTTGGTTTTTCTTACTCATACTTGGGAATTTGATGACATCTTTAACAGCATGGTTTAATTCTTGCTTTGTTCAACTTTAAATTTTCATAAACGCTGAAGTTATATTTTTCATAGATATTTACAAAAGCCTACAAAATCTATCAAATCAGATCCCTAAATATGAGGTCTCCTGAGTGTACAGACTAAGTTGATCTTAATGCACAACCAGAATTTAAATCTTGTATTTCTTCTAAAAATTGAAAAATTCTTTGTCAACCCATATTTTTACCTTTTTATATATCTCTGTGCCACATACTCGAAAGAAAAAATATGCAAGATAGAAAGTAAAAACTTAGAATTCCAATTGTCATTGAAGGAAATGTAAAGAAGGACTCCACAGGGCTTCCCTGGTGGCGCAGTGGTAGAGACTCCGCCTGCCGATGCAGGGGACGCAGGTTCGTGCCCCGGTCCAGGAAGATCCCACATGCCGTGGAGCTACTGGGCCCGTGAGCCATGGCCGCTGAGCCTGCGCTTCCGGAGCCTGTGCTCCGCAATGGGAGAGGCCGCAACAGTGAGAGGCCCGTGTACCGCAAAAAAAAAAAAAAAAAAAAAAAAAAAAAAGAAGGACTCCACAGCTGCCCCACTGCCCCCTTTCTCCTGTGTTGGACACCTTGGTATCTACAGCTAAGGGACAGCTCCTCACAGGTTAGGTAGTCTGCACTGTCACACTACAGTCGTTTACAAAGTCACAACATTATCTTGATAGAAAATGCACACTTTTCTTTGTCCGTTCTCAGTGTTCACTTCAATTCTATTTATGCTAAACAAATTGAGACACTTCAAATTTGCAAATATTATTGTTGGGATTCGGTCTTTAACTTCTCTCTCAGAAAGACCTTTCTGTTACATTTCTGATGAAGGTATCCTCCACCTTCTCAGGCTGAGCACAGTCACGCCCCATGTGGGAATTTCAGCTGGTGGATCAGGAGAGACTCAACCAGAAGGTACACATGACAGAAGGAAAAATTCCCAGTCCGTAAGAATGTTCATAAGCCCTTCATTAAAAATAGCATATCTAAAACAGTGAGCGTGATGTGAGATGCCTTCACGTGCAGTGATCTTTCTGACAAAAAAATCTTCAGCCATCAATGACAACTTGGTTAAAAATATCTGTAGTGTTTTCTTTTTTTAAGAAAGTTATGTTACACTAGTAGAATGGCCATCATTAGAAAGTCTACAAATAACAAATGCTGGAAAGGGTGTGGAGAAAAGGGAACCCTCTTGCACTGTTGGTGGGAATGTAAATTGATACAGCCACCATGGAGAACAGTAACCACTGTGGAGGTTCCTTAAAAAACTAAAAATAGAGTTGCCATATGATCTAACAATCCCACTCCTGGGCATATATCTGGAGAAAACCATAATTTGAAAAGATACATGCGCCCCAGTGTTCATAGCAGCACTGTTTACAATAGCCAAGATGTGGAAGCAACCTAAGTGTCTATCAACATATGAATAAAGAAGATGTGGTATATATATATATACACACACACGCACACACAAACATATACACACAATGGAATACTACTCAGCCCTAAAATAAGAATGAAATAATGCCATTTGCAGCAACATGGATGGACCTAGAAATGATCATACTAAGTAAAGTCAGTCATTTATATAAATAAGTGACAAGGACTCTAAAAAGATGATACAAATGAACTTATTTACAAAACAGAAACAGACTCACAGACAGAAAACAAACTTATGGTTGCCAAAGGGGAAAGGGGGTGGGGGAGGGATAAAGCAGGAGTTTGGGATTAACATATACACACTACTATATATAAAATAGGTAAACAACAAGGATTTACTGTATAGCACAGGGAACTATATTCAATATCTTGTAATAACCTATAATGGAAAAGAATACGAAAAAGAATATATATGTATTTGTATAACTGAACCACTTTGCTGTACACCTGAAACTAACACAACATTGTAAATCAACTACACTTCAATAAAAAATAAAATAAAATAAAAAGTTATTTTAAAGAGAACTATTGGTCTGTTTGGGGATAACAGCTTTAACATCTGTGATTAGTACTGAGGACTTAAAACTTCTTATTTGAATTGTTGCTGACATCTTTCCTTATGAATACCTATGGTCACGCCATGGAGCAGGAATGAATGTTGTTGCTCAAGTAACACACCTGTCTATCTATCTATCATCTATCTACCTAATCATCTATTATCTGTTGATTGATGATCTCTCTGTTTTCTCTATCATCTCTCATCTATGTGTCTATTATGTATCTATCTCTGTCATCTGTTGTCTGTTACATTGTGTCTATCATCTGTCTGTCACCTATTATCTATCATCTATTTATCATCTCTCTCTATATCTAATCTATCAGCTATTATCCATGGGTCCATGATCTATCCCTATCAACTATCTATTGAATCTATCATCATTCTACCTACCATTTTAATCTAATCTACTGTTTTCTTATTTATTAATCTACCCATGCACCCGGCTCATCACTTTTTTGTGCTACAGAGAATTTGGTTCCTTTACCTCTTCATTTACAGTGAGGAAGCAGAACGTGAAAGAAAGCTGGCAGGTAAATGCTGACGGTTGCACAGCTAGGATTGTAATCAAGGTCTCTGAGCTCAATCATGCCACTTTTCATCAAGTCAGATAAAATGAGTACTTCTGTTTTTCAGAAACAAAAACCCAAAACTTTAATTTTCAGTAGGCTACGTGTAGATAATGAAGGTCTGAAATCCTCTTCCCATATTAAGGGATGTGATTTGGAATGGAGAAGCAATGGTCAACTCTTAGCTGTTCACATCCAGAAAATTTTTTAAAAAAATGCTAAAAGAACAGTATCCTTTATTGTTCCAAGCATGTACTTTTATCATCAAATTGCCTGCCTACTCACTGCTGGTTACACAGAACAATCCCTTTTGCCTCTTTTATTATCTTCTATTATTTTTTAAAGGGGTCAAAAGTTATTTAGCAATTTATTCCTTAGGAGAAAGTTTCACTCTATTCTATTCTCACTGAGTTTTTAAAATGATTTTGCAACATTTCCTGTTGCCTATGGATTGACAGCAGGAGTCAACAAACATGCATGCCTCCCGCTCCATGATAAAGATAAGATACTTTATGCAATTAACCAAAGGACACAAATATTTACTCAGAAGGCCTGATCTTGCAGGCAGGAACAGACGCTCCCTCCTTCTTGGCAGCTCCTGTGGCCTCAGAATCTGGGGCTGAGACGCTTCCTCTGTCCACTCGAGGTGAACAGGCCAAAGCTGAGCGCAGTTCTTGTGGCCAAAATGCCCTTGGAAGTGCAGCCTGGGCAAACGTTCAGGAAAGCAGCGCAGGGCGCGCTGGCTTCTGCTGGCAGCCTCGCTGGGGACGCTGTGTTTTCCACTTTCTCGAGTTCAACCGAGTTCTGGGCAGGGCCTCGGGGGTGGCGGGAAACCTGGTCCTGCGCCCCAGAAAACCATCCCCGAGGCCAGTCCTGCCTCCCACCTCATGTCCTTTCCGGCACATCGTTCTGAGGAGCAAATCCATTCCCTGCCACCTGGAACGTCTTGCCTCCTTGGTAGATTGTACTTCCCGACATTTTGTAATTAAAAAAAAAAATCCTGTTTATAACAGGGGGGCCCTTAGGAAGGATGGTTTCTCAAGGCCTCTCCCCAGGGAGAGCCTCTCCTCCTGGCCCGGGAGAGGCAGGATGGCTCGGGCCGAGGTGCTCTCAGCGACCTGACATTGTCCTCAGCACCACGGCGAGAGGTCTATTTCTGAAATGACCCCAATGGTCTGATTTTTATTTGATGTCATTGGAAACACTTGCAATCAATGCTGGGTTTTTTTAAGCAAACTTCCACTCTATCTTTAAAACTGAGGTGATTCTCTCAGTCTGAGGGAATTTGTGTGTGTGTAAGGAATAGCTTCACTTCTGCATTTTCTCTCTGTATTCAGTATAGTCTATATTTGTAAGGTGGTTTTTCTGTCTATTTCTCTTCCTGGTAATTTTGGGAGAAAGAGGAAAACATCTTCCACCAAAATCCAGGTGAGAGAAGGGAGGTGAGACTTCCCTGAGGACACGGGGCCCCAGGGCCGGGGGGCGGTCACTTTCCGGGTCTTCCTCACCCCCCTCCCACTGCTCCATTCTCCAGGCATCTGTTACTATGGTTACTCCTTGTCTACCGGTGTCAGGAGACAGAAGATGTGAGAGAAAACTTTAATTTCTGTTTCACCGCATTTTCCATATGAATGAAACACAGGTGAGCGTGCTTCCCTGTTGCTAACTGGAACATGCCTTCTCGGGATGGGGCTCAGTCTCCAGAGGTGAATTCTGTGGAAGGAGGGGTCTGAAAGTGTCCTTTCAAACTATACGTTCTGGCAGGAGCAGTGGGAGGGTGGGAGCGTCTGCAGCACAGCGTTTGCCAGAACAACATTAACAATAAGTTCACGACTCCACTTTCTCGCCCATCTGTAAAGCGGCCTTCGGGTGGGAGGCGCCTCCCTGGCCCAGCCATCCTGGTTCACCGCATGGATCCCTCCCTCACGTGCAGGCCGTTCCAGGAACATCCGTGGCCTCTGCACGCACAGCCCTCTCACTCCCCGTCTAGCCCAGCGTACCCAGAGGAAGGACGGGGCCAAGATCCTGGGCCAGTAAGTGAAGCAGACCCATCTCCCACCTCCGGGCTTGAGGGTTTGCCCCTTCTGTTCCAGTGCACTTTTCCTATCCTCGCATTGTGCTCTCAGCAGTCCCAGAGAGAACAAGTAAAATCTCTCCTCTTAGAGTTCAAAGGATGTTTTGGAGGTAAGTGAGGCAGCAGCTTATTTCATGGATAAGAACCAGCGAGCGCGCGGCTTTGGGTCTGAGCTCGTTCCCTGGTCCACGGTCTCCATCCTACTGTGGACGTCAAGGGGAGTCCCTGATAGACCACAGGTTCCAGGAGGAAGCGGCCCTGCTGAGGTTACTGGTCCTGCTACGAGTTATGCATCCTGAGTGGACTAGAATTTGCACTAAAAAGACTCTCTTCTCCATATAATCCATCCCTTAGCCCTACCTGCTTGTAGAATTAATTCACACCCACATCCTTTATCATTCAATTAAAATAACCAGCAACTGCACAGGACTCGGGGCTGCCAGGGAGACGTGTGCGCAGGTGGGCAGGGCTCACAGACGGGGTGCTCTTCTCCTACTAGAGCGGCTCTAGGGAAGGAACCGAAAAGAAACCAGCACGGTTGGCTGCGGCTGCGAGCATCTACCTCACACAGCAGCGGCCGTAGGGAGAAGAAACAGGAGCTGGGTGGAGGGCGCCAGGCTCTGGACATCAGTCAGAGTAAAGCCTCCTTCCTTCTGCTCTGCCTGGATTCTCAAGTTCTGCTTTCAGCGTAATTTCTGAGAGCTCTCTGCCCCGATTCAGTAGTTAAAGGAGATGCACCCTAAACTTTTCACCACGGAGGTCATCTAGAAAACTGACATAGTGTGGATTTGCTCTCCATCGTCGCATGAGGTGCCCTGGGATCGTGGGGACATTCTGGGAGTCCTACTTTATTGAGAGCGTGCACAACGGCTGTGTTCCCAGCCAGGAAAGATTGCACCTGCTCCTTCCCTAGCACACAGCTCCTTCCCCAGCTGCCTGCATGATGCTCGCGATTGAGCAGGTGGGAGGAGGAGCCCAGGCTCCCTCCCCTCGCCGACCCACATCCGTGGAGGCCTTGGCCTTGGCTTCTCTGCTCTGTATCATCCCAGGGGACGGAGAGAAGAGAAACCAATCGCTGGCTCACCATCCTCAACGCTTCACCTATGCTCCCGTTTGCCACGTTCACTGTGACTGCAGAGCTGGTTCTACAGACAACAGAGTAAGCCTTATGCCAACCAAGCAGGCCCTGGAAGACCGACCACCCCGGACTGCAGTCCTGTCTCACTGGAAATCAGTTAACAGGTGGCACCAAGGCAGGACTTTCTCAGGGGGGTGGGGCACTTTGTCATCTCCTTCGCATTTCAGATAAACTGCTGGCTTCAGTGCCTGCAGGCAGAGCTGCTTGCAGAGAATGGGCCCGCCTCCTGCACACACCTTACCCTGGTGATCCCAGGCCTCCTCTCTGCTTTTGGTTCCATCAGAGCCGAGCTCCCAGTGTGTGCTCGGCGCTCGTGCAGGTCATTTCATTATGGCAGCCCAGAGATCTGGGGGCCTCCAGCAGGTCACGTGGACGGTGAGGCCGCAGCCTGAGATGGGCTGACCCAGGCCACCGATGCAGGTGTCTCTCTCACGGTCGTTGGGAACATCTAGAAAACACACACAAGTCATGAAGAAGGAAGCAAAACTCACCCACCGCCTGCAACCCACAAGAGGCCTCTGTTCTATGACATTGGGGCTTTTCTCTTCCAGATTGTGGTCATTCGTCTATGTTGCATATTTAATATAATCTGGTTCACACAACACTGCATGGATTATCTTTTCACTTGATATTGTAGGGGAGGAAAAAACGGTTTTTCCTACTCGTCTCCTGGGTTCTCTGGCTGGAACCCTGTAAATTGGACTGACGAAAGACAGACTGACAGGAGAAAAACATAACATTTATTTAATGTAAGTTTTATGTGACACGGGAGCCTCCAAAAGGAAATGAAGACTCAAAGAAATGGTTTAACCTGAGACTTTTTATACTGGGCTTAATGAAGAAGGATGTGATAGGATAAAGAATCTGAGCTCAGGTGAACTGGTGGGACTTGGCAAGTCCTGTTCATTCAGCTTCCTCTCCGCAACCCTCCATCCTGGAGACAAGGAGGCTCCCTTCCTCGGGGTAGAGGGAGGACTCCTCTTACGTGAGGGTCTCATGACCTGCTTCAGGGGAAGGTCAGAAAGCCCTTCTTGCATCTGCAGTATCTCTCAAAAAGATTTTTTTTTTTTGATAAGTGAAAACACTCGAGTGTATATGGTAACTATATTGAAGGAAAAGCACAGGGAGCCCCGGGTGTGTGACAGGGGTTCTGATCCTGACTGGGTGTGTATGAGGAAGAGATGGCATTTAAACCGACTCCTGGAGGGAGGGGATGGGTGCAACAGAGAGGCGTTCCAGGCATTCCAGTCTTGGGAATAGCACAGCCATGGCCTTGGGGAAGGGAATGGAGTAGAAAGCCCTGGCTTTGGACAGAAACCCCTGGCTAGGCTGCTGAAGGCCTCTTGTTTCTCCTACTAAACTCTGGTCCACAGGATGCCATGGAAGGGGTTGGATTTGGAGATGCAGTCAAGCGGCAGAGGTTGCTCACAAGTGCAGAGGCCCTGTGGCTAGAAGAACGCATGGTGTCAGCAGAGATCCGCCTGGATCGGAGACGGTTGTGGGAAGAGGGAGTCAGGTCTGCCCTGCTCTGCTCACCCTAGAGTCTCTGAGTTTCACTGTGGGAGGGAGGGAACTCTCCCACTACCCTCTTAGGTTTTTTCCTGGGGCCTTGTTAATTAAACTGACAGAAGACAAAGTAACAGGAGAAAATGCATGCAGATTTTTATTGGTGTTAATACTTTTTACATGCACGGAGGACTTCACAGAAAAGAAGTGAAAACGCAAATAAGTGGTTAGGCTCAGAGGCTTATATACTATTTTAACAAAGGGCAATAAATTGTGGAGTAATGACTAGCCAAAGGAAGCGGGGTGGGCCTCTAGGGGGAGTAAATTGTGGGAAGGTAAATACAGGGGGAAACCAGTGGAAGATAAGAATTATTTTAGTAAGGTTTGTTTGTGAAGACTCATTTCAATGCCAACTTTCTGTCTTCTTCGTGGCCCAAACCTCCCCCCACCTAGAGAGGGAATTTATGGCGGTCTCATTTTCAGAAGTTTCTGCCCTGTCAGATGAGGGAAGCTCCTGGAAAGCTGCTTTCAGCAGCTGTTGACTCTCAGTCAATTGCCTTCAGCTCAAAATGATCCATGTGCCAAAGTGGTATATCCTGGTGTCACATCCACATTCCCTTCACATCCCAGATGTTGGTCAGTCCATGCAAAGAACCTGGGACTGGAATGAACTATGTGTGCCACTGGGGTCAAGCACAACCTTTCTGGGTCTCAATTTGCTTGACTCTAAATAAACAAAGCAGAATCTAACACAGTTGACCCTTGAACAATATGAGTTTGAACTGTGGGGTCCACTTACACGCGGATTTTTTTCAATAAATAAATACTAGGACTACACGATCCAAGGTTGGTTGAATCCATGGACATGGAAACGAGGATACAGAGGCCCAACTGTAAAGTGACAGGTGGATTTCTACTGCTCGGTGGGTGAGCACAGTATGGGGTCCGTGTTGTTCAAGGGTCACCTGGCACTGTTCCTGGCCTTCCCGGTACTGTGGCAACCATCTTATGAGGAGATAGTCACCATTCTTATTTTCCCAAGCAGGCAGCTGAGCCTTGAGAATGTGCATCCCAGCTGAGGCCCCTGGACAAGCAGCAGGGCTGGCCTGGGAACCAAGACTGACCCCAGATCATGTGTCCTGGAGCAGAGCGCTGATGAGATTCCCTTTGGGGACTTTGATTCAATCTCAAACTAGAGAGATTCTGGTGGGTTCTCTGTGTTCCAGGTGTCTCGATATGTGGGTGCTTTTCAGGCATCATGGCAACCTGGGACAGCAACCTATTTCTCTGTCTTGTTTTCCATCCAAACCTAAATAACAGGACATGAGTCACTCATGAAGATTGGCAGAGAATAAACTCCTCAGAGAGGCAAAACCATGAGTTCAAAATGCTCTTTTTTTTTTTAAACAAAGGATAAACTCACAGAGCACACTGGAAGGGTCAAATCTTACAGAGCTAGGCCAATATTTGTTTAACTGCACTAAGTGAAAGATGATTTGGCCGAGGGACCAGGGAGAGAGACCTTTTATTTGATCTGATTTTACACAAACATTTCTGCGCTCAGAGAGGGAGGGAAGGTTCCAGAGCCTTATCACAACCATCACGCAATGTCTGCTCCAAATGTCATGTCTTAGATGCTGACTTACAGCCCACGGTGATAAACCATGCTTAGTCCATATCAGATGTGCACAGCTGTGGGCACATACCTGCAGCCCTGCTTAGGTGGCAGTTTTGACTGTTCAAATGAAAGTTTGCAAATAGAGAAGATGTCGATCAAGGCTCTGCAGTGAGGGTTATTTAAAGATTCCTTGTAATTATCTGAAGAGAAAAGCTGTCTGTCTGGCATATCGTTCCTTTGGCATGAGCTGGATACAAAGCCACATAAAAAGTTGTCCTGCTCTGAGTGACAGACCTTCAGCGAGGGGCTGACTCTTACATGTTTAAGGGCTGAGATGTAACAAACATGTGTTCGAATGAACCAGATTCAACTGGTCAGAATCATCCATCAGGCCACATGCTCACTTGTTTGTCACCTTCCACAGTTAGAAGCAAGAACAAAATCTCAAGAAAAATAGGTCATGTTTTGGGCTGATCTCAGAAACCACGTCAAGCGTGTATCCCCGGGTTGGTTCTTCCTAGAATAAACTCCTGCTCTATATTTAATTTAAACGTTGATGAGATTTTATATTAGAAATGATGGCCCAAGATATTGAATGGTCTGCAAACATTAAAGGAATGTTTGATTAGGCTCACTGCCTTCTATTTATGGTGACAGAATGGAGAAATGAGCTCACATTTTACAAAGAACTTTGAAAGTAGAAGGAAATAATTCAGTAACACTTATTTAACCAAGGTTATCACTATCTGGAATACCCCACTCCATCAATCTTGTGAGAAATCAGAGCCCACAAGAAAAGCCCTGGAGGCTCCCTAGGACATTATGAGGAGGATGCAGAGAAGAAAGGAGAGACATGTGAACCAGAGTGAGTGAGGAGTCTGACCCGTGGTGCCCGGTGGTGATTGACGCCTGCGACCCGTCTCGCTCCCAGGCTGGGCTCAGGCTGGGGAGGACGAGACGGCTTAGGGGCCCCTCTGTGCAGCTCCAGTCTGTCCTCAAACCCACAACTAGATGAGGGCCCCAGCAGCAGCAGTGACTGAACAGCATGGGAAGCCGTGGGTTTCTTACCACTTGCTCATGTGTGGTCCTGGTGCCAGCAGCACAGGGGACGGAGTGGGGTGTGGGTCCAGTAGTCCTGGACAAGCCCTTTTCCCTCACTCTGAAGACCTCCTGTATCTCCTGCCTAACTAGTAATTCACATCTCTAGTGCACGTACACGAGCCTGGTGCTACGGTACATGCTTCACACCCATAAGTGTATCTAAGACTCATCTTAACCCCAGAAGGAAAGTCAGCTTAGTTTAGGTAACTTGCTGAGTTACCGGCAAGATGCTGATGTAAAGAAGTCCTGGGGCTTCCCTGGTGGCGCAGTGGTTGAGAGTCTGCCTGCCGATGCAGGGGACGTGGGTTTGTGTCCCTGTCCGGGAGGATCCCGCATGCCGCGGAGCCGCTGAGCCTGCATGTCCAGAGCCTGTGCTCCGCAACAGGAGAGGCCACAACAGTGAGAGGCCCGCGTACTGCAAAAAAATAAAAATAAAAAAAAATAAGTCCTGAACTACTGTCTCACCCCAGTCCTCTCACCTGATTCTTGTGTGGGTTTAAGATCTACAGTGTGATCCCAGTCTGCAGTGATCTGTGGTAGTTACACAGCAGACCACTCCCCCTGGTTAACTGACCAAGTGATGGAGTATGCTCACATGTGTTGCCCCTGACCTTCTATTGTTCTGGATACTTCCATAGTCTACTCTGGAAAAGAAAAGAGCTTCCCTAAAAACCACCAGGGCTTATGTCAGCAGCCCTGAGGACACCCCTGGCCTTAGGAGGGCAGACACTTGTGTCTGTAAGTTCTGGAGGGCTGGGTGACCTGGGACACAGAGAGAGGGCAACTGGCTGACAGGGCAGGAGAAGCTTACAGCAGGGTCAGTTTTCATGCATCAGTTCCAGTGAAATCAGGCCGCTGAGTGCACTGTGGCCGTGCTTCTGGTAAATACCACCCATTAACTGAACCCCTAACTCCCAACTTGCCCAAGCTTTTGTTTCTGTGTGTTTGTTTCCCAGTTTGATCCCTACAAACCACGCAGACTATTAGGTCCCAGTAGCCATTTATCTTGCTGCCTTTTGGGGAGGAGAGTGTGATTTTTGGGTCCCCTCTGCCACTCGTTCATCTTGTTGTTCTTCCTATTTTGCAGTGTGTGGCTGCTACGTAGAACCCAGAGACGACCTGTGACCCGTGGGGCTGCTGGTGTCACCTCCTCTGACCCACGGCTTTAACTGCTTCCTCTGGCTGCTGGGCTTCATGAACCCACACTCTGGGCCTTGCCAAGGCCCCTGCACCCAGTGCTGTTTGGGGGTCACAGAAAAATAACAAAACATAGAGTCCTCACATTTCTCAGAACCTTTCCTTTGTTGATCTTTCAACTCTTCCTCCCCTACAAAGCTTTTCCCAACACAACCGACCCAGAAAACCTAGTTGTCCTCAACGAGGCACAGCTTTCCAGATGGAGCGTAAAGGAAAACTGACCCACATTAATGACACTGGCACCTGGTCTTCACCCCAGGAAGCAAGGCTCCTTCACCTGCCAGCAGCTTCCTGGTAACTTCACGGTCACAGGGCCGTTAGCACCCACTTGTGGTCACACGCCCAGCAATGTCCCGAAAGCCTCAGGGGCCCAGGGTCAGTGGCTCCCAGGGTGGGAGTTTCAAAGGCTGAGTGGTCTTCGTGGACACATCTGGAAGCACAGACCCGAATCCCTCCTGTGTAAGTGTCTCTCCTTCTTGCATTGGAGGGAAGAGAAATTTTGAGATGGGCTTCAGGACTCCGTGTGTGTTGCTGTGTTTCTGAGGTGAGGAAGAGATTGGGGGTGCAGCTGAGAGCTCCTCAAACTGTCCCTTCTCCCCTTCTTTAGCCCAAGAACCTTTCCAGAAAGAGTCAACTTTTGGATTAAGGGTTATTTACATCTAGGATTTGTCATTTTCAAAGCTTTAAAAATTGTAACATAATACTTGCTATAGATTTTAAAAATCAAATTTCAAGAATTCAAAGTGAAAATTTCATTTCCTCCTTTTGTTTGTTTGTTCTCTCCCACTGTAATCAGTCAGTGTAAATATTCACACATTCATTCAACAGTAGTTACTGGATTCCTACTACACGCCAAGAACCGCTGTAGTTGTTGGAGATGCAGTGGACAAATACGGCTGTCTCTGTGGGTCACACCCAGGGGGTGGCGGTGACGTGCTCACTGAAGGTGAGCCCGCTGATGAATACGCCCGCTGTGGGCAGCGGGGTTAGACCGGTGGTTTAGGGGAGCGGGGCGGGGAGACAGAGCTGCTCAGATGAGGTGGACAGACGGTCCCTCTGACAGGCTGACACTGGTCAGTGTACCCACGGAAACAGCCTTGGCATTCTGCACATATATCTGCAAACTGACTTTTCTTCCAGAGCAGGACCTGGACCAGAAAGCACCTACGTCTTGTGGTCTTGAATTCATAGACTTGAATCAGGGGTGCAGAAGGTGGGACTTGTCAATCCGGGACAGGATGTGGACACTGGGTGGGTTTCCCTGGGGCTCGTTTTCTGTGGTCCTTCGAGAAGTGAAAACACGGAGACACACGCTAGGCACAAAGCCCCCAGAGAACCTCCTGAAAAGCCGTCTTTAATCAGAAGTCTGTCCTGCTCGTGGGGTCCTTTCTTATTCTCTGTGTTAAGTAGCATCCCCTGGATTCTGAATGTGAGCAGGTGAAACCACAGGAATGGAAATCAGGTTCCAAGCGGCCGTGCAGGGGCCATCGGTCACTCTGCTTCCGCTCCTGACGCGACTTAGCAGGAATCAATGTGTGCCCTAACTTACTTTACCTACTTCTAAGTCAGCGTCCTTGGCAAGCCTCAGCACAGGCCGCAGGACGACTGACACACGGGATCTGGAGAAACCTCTCCCTTATTAGTGGGGTTCCCATTTCTGCTCATTCTTCTCAGGCAGACGAACTGTGATTCTGGGGGACAGGGCTGTGGCAAGTGGTGCTGGCCTCCCGGCTCCACTGAATCTGCTGGTGGACAGTGGTCTGTGGCTGGAAGCCCCGTGTGTCCCCGAAGGGCCCAAAGCCATTTTGTGCTTTAAGGGCCTGTAGCTGAGAACACCCATGGCAAACAACGTTCACCCCAGACACTGAATGAGGAGCTGTGGGCCGTCAGGGCTGCAGCAAAGAGTACACTGCAAAGCCGCCTACTACGGACTGAGTGTCTGGGTCCCCCAGATTCATATGTGGAAACCTAACCCCCAAGGTGATGGTGTCAAGGAGGTGATGAGGTCATGAGGGTGGACCCCCACGATGGGATCAGTGCCCTTATAAAGAGACCCCAGAGAGCCCCCTGCCCCTTCCTCCAGGTGAGAAGACACTTCTCTGCACCAGAAGAGAGCCATCACCAGGACCCACATGCCGGCACCTTGATCTTGGACTCCTGGCCTCCAGAACCATGAGAAGTACGTGTCTGTTGTTTAAGCCCCTGTCTGTGGGTTCTGGGAGGGCAGACTTGGACAGAGCATCAATAGCACCCGAAATGCCCAGACGACAGGCCTGGGGACCATGGAAGGAAGTTGGTAAATATAAATAATGTACAATTTTAGAATTGTACCCATTCTGTGAATACCAAAGAGCTAACAGTGATGTATATGAAATAGAGATTTAGCCACTCTGTATTCATACATGAGGTGGTGGAGTGGGGCACAGAGTAAGAATGAATGAAATCCTAAGAATTTTAAGGGAGATTTTCTGCGCTTGCCTGGTGCAGAATATTTCCGTCACGTAGTGTTTCTCTCTTCACTTCTGTTAAATCATTTTCTTCAATCATACTTGTACCTGCGTGTCTCCTGTCTGACCTTGAGGGTAGGAATGGAAGATTTTCCTTCCCTTGTCTGAAGACAGGGCCTAGACTTCGTGTCCTGATGGTAATTAAAATATACTTGAAAGGCTATTTGGCCAGGTGGGGTGTTATGTTTCTGGTCTAAATTAGTGAGCCGTGTGTTATTTCTCAGGACAGTCAGATAACCTGAATTACAGGTGGAGTTCAGGAATACACATCTGCTTTTAGTCTCTGGTCCTGACCAGACCACTGGGCTTCAGACCCACCCAAACTTCTTGTGAAGTGGGGACAGGACCACCCACGTGAACTCTCTTCCCCTCAGTACTCAGCAGGTGATTGAGGCATAGTGCACACGAGTGGAAGTACATAGTCAGCAATCCAGTTCAGTCCACACTTACCTTACGTCCGGAGCCCCGGGACCTTGGGGGATGTTCTGATGACGAATGTGTCAAATTCGTATACTGCATCTTGTTTCCAGTGCCTGTCGTGTCGTAGGCAGATGTGTTGGTTGAATGAGTAGATTAAAGTGGTCTGGCTCTGCAAAGCAGCTAAAATAAATGTGACACGTTTTGATATTAGACTATACATGTACAGTCTAATTCCTTCCTGAAATCGAAGTTTCCTAGAGAAATGCAGAGGTGAAAAATGGCCCTGGGCATGACCTAATCGACGCGCTGTGGTCATCTGTCACTGGTGAACCTGGCCACGTCACTATGTGGCGTCCAGGCTGCCCTGGGTCTGCTCTATTCAACGCCTATTTCTTGTGTGCCTTCCTGGGGCTGCTGTTCATTTGGACTAGGATTCGTCCAGTTCAGGAATCTTTAAGCACATCACTTTTTTTTTTTCTCATTAGCCTTTTATTTTTAACTTAGTTTTAAAATAAACAAACAAAAAAGTAGATCATTAAAAAAACACCATAGCTGTCAATTTAAAATTTTAAGTGAGGTTCTTATTAAACAAAGCACTAACACTATATCCCATAATTACATCTTTACTTGCTTGCAAGGTGCTTTTCAAACTGTAAAGTAAGGCTTGGGAATAGGGTACAAATGGTTATCCCCAGGAGTTACTTACCCCCAAGGTAAGCACACCGCTTTTGCTATGAAATCGTTTATTCCCAAGCAGACGGCAGTTCTGAATTATTCTTATGGCAATAGCCTGGCATCACCACCAACCCATCTGGAGGGCTTGGAAGCAGTTCTGACTCAAACACAAGGATGTTGACCTCGGGGGTCAAGTAGCTATCAATTCACAAGCTGGACTAATAGACTCAGCTCAACGTCTAGATCAAACTCAGCTCATGAAGCTTTTTCCAGCCTTCCTGTTGATTTGGGTCACTCCATCGATAATCTGACCTATTGTGGGACTGCTTGTCATCGAAGACAGTTTTAAAAAAAACTGAACCAGCTGGGAAAGTCGGTGGTTTTAAATAGATGTCATCTTCAGAAGAAAGGGCGGCATGTTAGCAAACCAGACCACGTGTTGGCAGAGAACCTCAGATGTACAGAAAACCCTGAGAAAAAGTCTTGGCAGCCTGGCCTCCAGCTGAGCTGCCATCTATGACACAAATGTCCTTACAGTTGTAGGTTTAGGGTCGGCATCTTGAGGTGGGCCTTGGTTCGTCTTCATCTACAAAGGAATGGGGCTCCCAGGCTCACCCAGGAATGGAAAAATGAGAGATGGAGAAGGGCCGATGGGCCTGAAGCCTCACACCACCACAGCCGGATAAAATAATCTGCATTTCAACAGCAGGAAATGGAATACTGCATTCATCGTAGAATAATTTTTACTTATTTGGCATTTTAGGGACTTATACATGAGGAGATTCTGGGAATGCTTTCAGCAATGAAAATTACTTAGGATATTGAAATAGCAAGGAGGAACTGAGCAATGTTTTATCACAGGTGTGCCTACTTGCCAGTTATAAAAACAATTTTGACTAGTTTAAAACAGGCCTTATTCTCAGAATCCCAGCTTTTTCTGTTTGAAACAGTTAGTACTCAACCTGGGTTCAAAATGAAGATTAATATTCACGACTTCATTATTTGGCAAAATGCCATTAAGCTGATATTGGCTTATTCAAAGGAAAGTATAATTTGATGGGGCAGTTACTTTCTAGCTGAATAGATACCTTATTTCCTAATTAGAACGATGAAAATTCTAAACATCTTTCATCCAAAGACCATTTCCTTCCTGACATTTTAAGTAACTGGGATTTTCCTGTTAAGGTGTGGGCCACAGCCTGACAGAGGATTTGTTCTCGAAACCATTTCTTGTATGGCAACTCGGTGCAGCCTGATCAAGAAATTTAAACATTGCTTACTGAGCTAGCCTCCGGAGGGAAACATCTCATTTTAATGAGGCCCTCGGGAGGCATGAGGATCACGCTGCCTAACTTAGGTTTTGTGTTAGGCTTCCTGCTAAAAATAACACACAGAACACCAGCGACCATTATCTTTTAATGCAACCATGGCGATCACAGTGTGATCCTTTAAAAATAGCAAAGCTTCATTAGGTGAAAGCAAAATCCACATTTCTTTTTAAATACCCACCTTCTGTGAATACATGAGCAGGGACATCCCTGCTGGCTGGGGGAAAATCAGCTCTCCTTCACTCCTGCTTGTACTGCAGCTGCTTCTGATTTTTCCTCGTTACCTTCTCCACTTTCTGTTTATTAAGCACAATCTGGGAAAGAAAGAGTGTGGCGAGCCTTCATTAGCTTGGAGGCAGCAAGCTAGCTTTCAGAGAAATCTGGCTAATTAAGTTGATAGTAGGGGTAAAGCCGAGGGTCTTTCATTTGCATAAAAGCAGAGATTTTGCAAGGCATGCATTGCGAAATGTTGCCAGGCTCTGGAGCACCAGTCCATCTGTGTGGATTGAAATATTCAAAGCCCTCGTGGGCCACAGGGTATCCGGATAGAGGGCTCAGTGAGTAATAAGCAAACTGATTTGTAAACCCATCAGATTTTTCATCCAGCCACACAAGGCTCCCCAATTCTGGCATGAGAGAACGATTCTATAATCTACTTGAAGAGTGAAGGAGTGGGAAGCACCTAGCTACACCCCAAGGTTTGAACTGGTCAAGTGGCCATCACATTACTCAAGTGGAGCAGAGTTTTTTCCTGTGGTAATTCTTCCACGTGTAAGTGACACTTCATATCACTAATGATTTTGCAACTTACGGAGAAATACAGAGCGGAGCTGATCAACAGAACTTCCTGGCATGTGACTTATCATGTAAATCAGATAATTCCTTGTCACTGTCGTTTGTAGTTACATCTCACACAGATTTCACTGATGACCAAAGGATCTCACGAACAGGAAATGAAACGCTGTTGGCATCTGCTGATGGAGGCGGGGCCAGTTGCTTCGCCACGTGCGATGTTTTTGAGAAGGCTTCTTGGCTTACTTGCAGGCACAACTGTTTACAAGCATCTGGGGACAGGCTGCAGAAGGGAAGGGAGAAAGAAATGTACATGTGAGAAAGGACCATTCTGTGCAAAAGTGAACACTTGATAAGAGGCCAGAATCAATTGGAGGGATTATTCTAGTATGACTGACATGGCTCTCATTTCCTACTTGACTGCTCATGACTTTCGTAAAAGGGTTGAGAGCGCATATCCCTCCATTATTTTAATACTGTAACAGTAGAATGCTATTTGCACAATTTCTCTTCACATTAACATCTTAAGTATTAGACAATAGGATGAAAGGGAATGAAAGACTTGAATTATTAATGGGTGCTCTTAGCTTAATGTGTATATGATATCTGAAGAATAGTTATGAGTATAATATTTGCTTGTAATAAATTCCCAGTTAAAAGAATTATTGTTAAAATAGGCATGAGACACAACTCAAATAATATTTTTAAAAATTGTTATAAAATAAAACATTCCTTAAGCCTCATCTCATCTCTATTTACGTTTTCATCACCAGTCCCTCCCTCCTACCCTCTTCCTTCTCTCTCAAACAAAAGAAAAATCCCAGGGTTGGAGGAGAATCCAATTGTTACTGCAAGTTAAATCGAAGCTATCTAAAAAGCTGATAAAAGCTTTTCTTTGATATAAATCTCCTATAAAGTCTTTTGCTTCAGGTTGGCCTTAGGGGGCGATCTCAGTGTGATACGATTCTTTGGTGCTTCATTGATTTAAATCTCTTTTGCTAGGGTCCTTCCACCTAAACAAAGTTTTGCCTCATACTGTCTTTCTACAGTGAATTTACATTTATCTACAGTATTTCTCAGGCACATCTGTGTTATCTCCCTTTGTTTGAGGACACCTGAGGGCTCTTCATTTTTGCATAATGAAGATGCAACTCTCCCACAGATAAGTACACAAAGGAATACATTCTTTTGCATCCCGCACACTCTTATTTTTAAGAATGTATTTTCTCATTCTCTTTGGAATCAGCCTTTTATTAAATAAATTTAGGAGAATACTGTTGCATCAACTCTTCCATGAAAACATTTGCTTTTCCAGCAGGCCTTTTATTTCCAATGAATACAAAGGACAAAATTGCCCAGAGTGAACCAATGATTGCTACAAAATCTGTCACATTATTTCGCTTACTCTATGAATCTCTAAACACAAAACTATACCAGGGATAAAAGTAATATGTACAATATCCTATCTTTGTATAGTGCATAAATCTTTGCAATTCTCTTTTTGTTGCTCTTATTCATTTTGGTTTTACAACCAGCTAACATAGTTTGGGGCTTTGTTAATACTAATTCACAGGTGAAGAAATTGAAGTCCAGCGAGAGGCTGCCCAAGGTCACAGCCTGAATCCACTGGCAGGACCAGGCTGGAAAGTGGCTGTCGGAGCATCCTCATTCTTTTCCTTCTTGGAATGATGCCAAAAATTCAGCCTCTGTGCGCTGTGTGGAATCAAATCTCGGAGACAGAGTTTTGGGTGAAGTAGAAAAGAACAGCCTTATTGCTTTGCCAGGCAAAGCGGAACACAGCAGGCTCTTGCCCAAAAAACTGTGTCCCAATCCAGGAAGATCTGATGAGGAGTTTTACAGCAAAAGTTCAAGGGCGGGGTTGCTCATAAGTTTAGGGTGTGTGCAGGGCCGCAATCTTCTAATCTGGTCTCAGGTGATCTTCCTCTTGAGCTTCTCTGGCCCCTTTAATCTCGCCTCAGGTGGTTTCTTGGCTGCACCTCCCTTGATTAGCAACTGTTCGAATTGCCCTTTGGAACTCAGGGAAGGTCACCGAGGCTGCAGTCTGTTCCCTACCAACAAGAAATGGGGGACAGAAAGGCTTCTGTGCCCAGGAGCCCCACAGGGTCCTGCTCAGTTTCAAGGAGACAGTTTTGTTCTTTCTTTCCCAACCCTCATGCTTATTTGTCTTACACCTTCCACTTTTGGCACCTCCGTGGTGCCGAGGTGACGAGTTGAGAGCAATCCTTCCTGTCCTGCTTCTGATCTGAAAGGGGCAGATTTCAACATTTCAGGATAGGTAGGATTTTGCTGTAGGTTTTTGTTTTGTCTTTGTCTCACTTTGTTTTGTATCTGCCCCTTATCAGATTTAGGACATTCCCTTTTCTTCCAGGTGCATGAGTTGGTTCTGTGTGTCGGGTGGGGTTTATTTCGTAGCTCCTCTTCTGAGAGTGTGGCCCCTTCTGATACCAGCACCTTGAGGGCATGGCTTCCTGTGAAGCTGCACTTTTGCATGGCTCCAAACTTTAAGAGTCCATGGAGTTTTATCTTTGCTTGGCTTAGCTGGTGCCCGCAGGACAAAAGCTGTTGGTGCCTGGCTAACCCCTCTGGTTACAGGCTTATAGTCCATCCTGATAATTACTTATTCTGTCAGCTGGTCAATAATTTAAAAATAAGCTTCTTTAGAGTTGAATCATCATTTTATCACTTTCAAAGGGGAAGATGATCTGAATACCCTGATGTGTCTTATTTCTGGAAATGGAAATTTCTCTGCTTAGCTTCCAAAATGTAGCTGCTTTTCCTTCCTACCCTCTTTAGAAGAAAATTTGTGAGTTTACATCTTTCAAAAAATCTTTTTCCATATTTTACAGTGGGAATTCAAGGAAGGGCCAAAATAAATGTGTGTTATCCACTCCCTTTATATAAAAGTCCTGCCCGTATTTTCTTCACTGTATCACAATGTTCTTCTCCTGGCCAAGGAAAACCTATGAAGCTCCAAAAATAATATGGGGAGTGGGGGGATGTCCAGTTGAACTGAAATCTGGAAATAAGCACTTTGTTTTTAAAGATTTTTCTTTTCGATGTGGACCATTTTTAAAGTCTTTATTGAATTTGTTACAATACTGCTTCTGTTTTCTGTTTTTTGGTTTTTTGGCTGCAAGGCATGTGGGATCTTAGCTCCCCAACCAGTGATCGAACCCGCATTCCCTGCATTGGAAGGTGAAGTCTTAACCACTGGACCACAAGGGAAGTCCCTGGAAAGAAACTTTTTTTTTTTTTTTCTCTGCAGTATGCGGGCCTCTCACTGCTGTGGCCTCTCCCGCGGCGGAGCACAGGCTCCAGACGCGCAGGCTCAGCGGCCATGGCTCACGGGCCCAGCCACTCCGCGGCATGTGGGGTCTTCCCGGACCGGGGCACGAACCCGTTTCCCCTGCATCGGCAGGCGGACTCTCAACCACTGCGCCACCAGGGAAGCCCAAGAAACACTTTTTAATAAGAAAATTTAGTCAGGGAAATTTCCCCAAGTATGTTTAATTAAATATTACCACTTTTCAAGAAAAACAAAGTAAAGCAATGTTTATGGATTTTAAAGAAACATACTCAAAGGTACACACTAAGAAGTGGTTGCCTCCTTCAGGATAACCCCTTTGGAAGGATGCATACTTCCCAAATGAGGCAGCCTGGACTTCTTTCCCCCTTTCTTCCTCCCTCCCTCCCTTCCTTCCTTCCTCTCTTCTTTCCTTCCTTCCTCTTTCTTTTCTTCCTCTCTCTCTCTGTCTCTCCCTCTCTCTTTCTCTTAATTAAAGCCCAATTAAAAAAAAAATTTAACCTAGCAGCGTATCCTATGAAAGTCACACTGATGTTTACAAAACGGCCAAAAGTCAGATTCAGTCAGGTATGGTGAATCAGGAATGTCCAACTAGCATGTCGGCATTTTTGATAATGGTGTGTATATGCCTGTGTGTGTGTGCACGCATGACTTAGATAATTATTAGTATTTTCTTATGTGACTGAGGGCAATTCTGAAAGGAGCTGCCCGTAGACACTAGGAGGACGTCTGGTAACCCAGTGGAGACAAAGGGCTTCATCCTCAGAGGTGACTACAGCTAACCACCTGGGCTCGGCCATGCTCCCTTGGGGAGAAAGCCCCTGGTGCACATGGCCCTTTTCCCTCCTTGCTGCTCTGATCATTCTCAACTGAGGTCTAACTGCTTCCTGGATGTCATATTAACTTCCTATCCTTTCAAAGGTTTTCTTCTTTCTTATATGTTGCTTTGTTTCACACACAGTTTCCTGATAATTAAAAAAAAAACCACTCATGACTGTCTGGATTTATAGACACCTGCTCTGGTAAGGGTACTAGCTTCCTAAGGTTGCATCCGGTCAACTCCTGGGAGACATGGACTTTGTTAGCGATCGCCAGATTGGTGTGTATTTCTAAAACTACATTGGTCAGTCATTAAATAAAAGTTAAAAATAATCAAAATCTCCACACAGACATTTATTCCTTGGACACCAAATTTTCACTAGCCTTTATATATATATTTATTGTCATAGGAGATATTATACATCTTTCAAAAGAAGGAAGAATGAGGAATAACTACAAAAAAAGATGTACTTTAATTTCAGAGTAAAAAGGATGTAAGTAAACAAAGCCATGGAGAAATTACTTACAGACAAAAAAAACGGAAGCTCAACCTCACACCTACACAAAAATTGAGTGAAAATGGATCACAGATTTAAATGTAAAACACAAAACCATACAACGTTTAGAAAATAACATAGGAACAAATCTTCAGGACCTAGGATTTGGGGAAGAGTTCTTAGATATGACACCAATAACACAACCCATAAAAGAAAAACCTGGTAGGCTGGACATCAAATTAAAAACTTTCGTTCTGTGAAGGGCTCTGTTAAGAGCCTTCAGACCCTGTTAAGAGAAAGACTCAGTTAAGACAAGCTACAGACTTGTAGAAAATATTTGTAAACCACATATCTGACAAAGGACTAGTATCTACATTATATGAAGAACTCTTAAACTCAACATTTAAAAAAAAACCCAATTAGAAAATGTGCAAAAGACATTAAGAGGCATTTCACTGAAAAGGGTATGTGGATGGCAAAAAAGCACATGGGAAAATGTTCAACATCACTAGCTGTTAGGGAAATGCAGGTTTAAAAACCATATGGGTTATACTACACACCTATTAGATCAGCTAAATAACAGCATCAACATGAAATTCTGGTGAGGATGTGGAGAATCTGAATCTCATACATTG